CTCTTCGTTGGTTTTGGCCGTTGGATCCACCCGACGCTTGGATCCGAGTGGTTTTCACCAGCCCTCGCGGCGGTTTCCACTCACGAGGATGGTTCTTTTCCTTCCCCAGTGGAAGGTTTTTACCACTCGATCTCACTATGCCAGGCTCCGTAATATCAATATATTCCGGAGCAGGTCGTGAGCAGCCCTCGTGGCCTCACTTCTTCTTTCCACTGCTCTCGGACACACTCCTCTGCGGGTGTGCGGTTCTGGTTCTTTCTCTTCTTCCTCTTTCTCTCTGCCGAGTGCTTCACTAGCCCAGCTGCTAGTTTGTTAGAACCAAAGCCAGCGTGGGCCAAGCACGCATGCAAGTACTAGCTAAGCGTCGAAGTGTGTAGTATAATTCGACCTAGAACAAAGACAGCGCGAGCACAGACACACCGAAAGCACCCAGTGCATGGGTCGCCACCATCCAGCCGTGATTGACGTGACACCGCTACTAGTATATCAGTCGCAAGTTGCAGGGATCGTGACCTGGTCGTGTCATCGGAATAAGAACCACGAGAACCTTGTTGGGGAACGATGGCGCGCATGATTGGACTGTCTATTGACCTTGTACAACTGCCAGGAGTTGAGGGTGACGCCACGCAATACACTGATCTCGAAGCATGGGCAATGCGGCAATCTCCTCGCATAACGGATCGAGTGCAGAGGACCTTTCTATGCACCACTTGAAGGCGGCGCATGGAACATAGACCTCTCAAGTATCAGTTGTGTGTATCAAGTTGTCGAGTTGAAGTTGTCGAGTTTGAGTTTTGTCTGGTCGAGCAATGAAGAGGCGCTCATCTTCTAGGACGACACGTGCCGTTGCAAGAATACCAAGAGTGTACCAGTCACGTTTGCCTCAACGACGCACAACATTGCGTAGGCAGTGTGGCCTGTCCACTCGAGCTGTCTCACGCGGGTCACGAGCGGATCCATCGATCGCGTCGTCGTTCGTGGCGCGTCGAGCAGCATACACATCAAGCCAGCGACATCTCGCTCACAGCCGCGTCGCAGTGACGTCAGCAGTTATTGTCCACCACCAGCTTGAGCTCCCACGTAGTACCGAACGACGAACGTGAAGAAGCATTGATGTACACCAGAAACTATCGCAAGCTTATCGGTTACGAGCTGCATCACGCCTTGTGCGCTGTCTCGAGTCTCCTGAATGCCACCGGTACGAGGATGTGTCCATGTGTCCTTCCAGAAGCGAGGACGACGACGTCCCTGCTCCTAACCTCCTGTGGTTGTCTCTCGTCTCTGCCATCAAGGCCCCGTGTGAAATGGGATAATCGTTGGGGCAAAGTGCGTCAATTGTAGCGTGTGCAGTGCCAACGACGTTTGTAGAAGCTGGGAAAAACCCCTTGGCTGCCATGTCTCGTGTGGGGCACTGGGTCGTCACTGGTTTTGCTCTAAATTTTCAATTGATTTCAAGATGGCCTCGCTGCTACAGTGGCGATTATTACACCACACAGCAATATTTAGTATTTCCAAATAAGCCATCGACCAGGAGCATGAACAATCAACCGCTTCCAACGCTCGAGTTTGTCAAGACCGGATTCCTCTTCAAGCGCGGGGCAGGTGGTCTCTTTGGGCGCAAGAATTGGAAGCCGCGCTACTTTGAGCTCACCGACTCGACCTTGCGCTACTACAGCTACCAAAAGGGCAAGAAGAAGGGCGAGCTGCGTCTCGACGGCATCGGGCGCGACGCCATTGAGGTCATGCCGACCGACTCCAAGAAGACGGGGACGTCCAAGTCGACGATTTGGCGCATTGCGATCCAGACGCCCAAGCGTCGACTGCTCCTCGCTGCATCGACCGAGTACGAGATGAACGAATGGATTTACGCGCTATAGCGCGTTGTAAAGGGTGGCGTCAAGCACCGGCACTCGGACATGACCAACTACAACCTGAGCAAGCGGGCGGACATTGGCGCGCGCGCCGAATCCTTCTAGCACATGCACCTTGATATTTATAATGAATCGTCTTTCATTCATTTTACACGTAGAAATATACGAGCGGAACTCGGAATGTTAGATCCGTAGATTCGATGCTTGGTCGGAATCGCGCGATTTTTCATTCTGCCAGCGACATGGGTTAGCTCGTGGTTCAGGACCACTGCGCCTCGGACACTCGTCTTGAGTCGCTGTCCCAGTAGGTGATGCTTGGCTTGCCAGTACATGGACCGCGTCATTACATGTCCACTCGTAAATATTCGCTTGATGGCGTTGGACCGTTGGGTGGAGTTGGTGCCGGCATTGGTAGCACCGCTGCAATGATAACAATCCAGCGCCGCGTTTGGGGACCCCCTAAAAAGGATCGAAAACATCTTTGATTTTGTATGCCACAAAACACGCAACATCAAGCTGCTTCAATCTGGCACTGTGCTTGGCCTTCATAGGACGCATATCATGACCTCGCTGCAGTGGTCGGTCTGTATATACAACAATAGTACTTGCCGGGTTGCATCGTTCATGGTGAACGCTGACAAACCACCTACACATGGGAACCGTTGTAGGTATCACCATTGCAAAGTTACCTCGTTGCCTCGTTCAGTCGTGTGAAGGGCCAAAACACAGCACACTATTGTATCCGTGTCCATAATGTGTACGCGCGGACCTTGTCTGTGACAGCATCCACGCACGGTCTTTGCTCGTGTCGACGGCATCGCGGTCGGTGGCAAGATGTCAGTGGTTTACAAAGTTGCGTGCCACCATCCACAGTCATCCGGATAACGCAATTTCGATGGGTCCCCCATGAGACATCCACGCGGATTCTAATTTTTACGACTGCAATCCGCAGCAGCAATCACCGCCGTATCCATCCAGCTCACTGGTCAATTTACCGCAACCAAGCATGTCCTTTGTCAAATCCGGGTACCTCTTGAAGGAAGGGTCGGGCCAAGGGCTCTTCCAGAAGAAGAACTGGAAGCGCCGGTACTTTGAGCTCACGTCCAGCACACTGCGCTACTCGGTGCTGGAACAAGATGCGAAGGTGCGCGGGCAGATCAACCTCGATGGGCTCTCGGGCAAGGCGATCGAAACGCTGGCGCCGGAAACGGGCGCTGACGTGGCACTACCAACGTCGCAGTGGCGCTTCGTTGTGGCCACGCACGACAGACGCCTCGTCGTTGCCACGTCGTCCGAACAAGAGATGTGCGACTGGGTCGACGCGCTCTTGCGCGTCTTGCACGAAGAGCCTCGCTTCGACACGACGCCAAGGTCACGCCCGACACTGTCGCCAAACGAACTCCACAAGTACCCGTTCGCCAAGCCCGCTGCGTATGGCAGCTTGCCCATCATCAAGCTCGCGCTGACCAAGATCGACGTGGCGGCGTAGCGCTCTTCACCGACGGTCTGCGATACCTTCGTTGCCACTGGAAGCGAACGAGTGTCACTCAACTAATTTACTGCATTTAGCGACTTCTTCGCAGATGTATGACGAGGCGAAGTAAGGGTGAGGATGGCGTTCAATCGCGGACATGCATCCCATTGCCTTGCTTGCTCGTGCGTATAAGAGCTTATCGCGACGCACGCTTGCATCGATGAACGTGCTTCTTACAGTCGTAACCCTTCGCAGTAATCGATGGTGACCATGGCAACAGCAGGGGTACATGATAGTGTACCCCTGGGCAACAGCGCGTAAAAAGTTTGGTTGCGCTTGGGAAATGTGCACGTGGCAACTTCCAAAAAAAGTCGAGTGGGAAGCTAACGCTGTCCAGAAGACCCCATCTCGTCGTGCTGGTCCCATATCCGCAGCTTGGTGGTCTTGACCCATTGCACATTTCATCTCGATATGCTCATCCACAATGGCGTCCTCTTCAAGCGCGGGTCCGGCCACGGCCTCTTTCAGCGCACGAATTGGAAGCCGCGGTATTTTGAGCTCACCGAGACGCACCTCTCGTACTACAGTCACCAAGGCGGCGCGCTGCGCGGCCACATTGACGTGGCCGCCGTCGACAGCATCGAAATGATGCCGGTGGACGCGGTCAAGACCGGGTCGTCGGCATCGACCAACTGGCGCCTTGGCGTCTGCACACCGACGCGGCGACTGCTGCTCGCCGCCAACTCGGAGGCCGACATGCGCGCGTGGGCGCTTGCATTCGTACGCGCGGCGGCCGAGCTCCGGCGCCACCAAAATCGAGGAAAATACACCGAACGCTATGTCCTGCGCAATGCGTAAACCGAGACCAGCAGCACGAGTGTCGTATGCTGATGCATTGGAACCTCAACGATGGCTGCTCGTAGCTGCACGAGAATCTGCTACGCAGCGCTCAGATGAGTCGTCCTTTCGGTGCTCGGCGGTGCAGGAACGGGCGGCGACGGTGTGTCCGACGACGTTGTTGATCTTGTTCTGGTATGCGTCTGAGCGTGCATGCATCCAGAGGTCCTTTCTGAGCGCGTTCTGCGTCCTCTCTGTGTGGTGCTCTCACTCTTGTAATGTACCTGCCGCGCGATCCAGCGTGCAGAAGAAAGGACAGTGTATTATACAGTGGAAAGGAGTTACTGGATCCACACACGCAGGAGGACGACGAGAACCAATTATGTCTGCGTGACCTTGACGCATCTCGGTGCTTTCTTGGCAACGTATCGGATGCGAGATTCACCGATAGGAGGCGATCCGACGAGCGAATCCGGAAGAAAGAGGGACAGGCAAATGTTGAAGATAACCAATGCAATCTGGACCGCCTCAGATGCAATTGTACGCGGTGCGATTATCCCACGCCCGTGCGCTGACACGGACGGGAGTGATTACTACAAGACGCCATCGCTTGGCATGCCGCCTTCGTTGACGATCGCAAGATGCAAGAAGCCTCGGCGCCGTTCGAGAGGAATCTAAACGTCAAGGTATTCCAAGCGTGCCATGGAACCGCGTAACCAGACGCCAAGATTCTGGTGCACGTGCCAGATTTGGGCGCGGGTTGGGACCTCCTACATACCGTACACTGAGACTCCAAGCAGCAAGTGGGGCGGCGATCGGAGCTAGTACCTTGGTGGACAAGATGCCACAGTACCCGGTTCGCTGCAAAAAAGCACCCACCATTCGCCTTGAGCTCAAACATTTGCAGAAGACTCGTAACTTGTATACGACGCCGCCGACTGTGCGTCATGGACAGGCCCCGCCTGCGGCTTCTGCACGCAGGCTGGCGGAGGAAGCCAGGAATCCGTGCCGTGACGCGGCGCGACCGCGTGTTACGCGCACAGCACTTCAACTTTTGCATTATTTTAGGGCCCTCCCCCTCTTTGTAGGTACCTCCACGTTTCTATAGGGACCATCCAAATAAATATCAGATATTCAAACAATGCCATATTTCAATGGGGACCCTGGGGTGGGCCATCCAAACTGCTGGCGGGACGCCACAAGTGTGTTAGCGTCGTCAAAAAATTGCCGAGAGTCGGAGCTTCGCGCGCTCCCGCTCCATGATCCAGTTTGCAATTTGCCAGCACGAGTAAAAATGGTGGCGACCACGGTCAAGACGGGCGTCCTCTTCAAGAAGGGCTCGGGCATCGGTCTCTTCAGCCGGAAGAACTGGAAGCCGCGCTACTTTGAACTCTCGTCGAGCCACCTCAGCTACTACGACGAGCAGGGCGGGAAGCTCAAGGGCGCGCTGCACCTCGCGTCCTTGGCTGCGCACGACATTGAAATCATGCCCTGCGACGGCCGCAAGACGGGCAAGTCGGCCTCGACCAATTGGCGCATCTGCCTCAACACCAACGGCCGCCGCTTCTTCATCGCGGCCGCGACCGAAGACGAAATGTACGAGTGGGTTCAAGCGCTCTTGTTTGTCATTGCGACGTGCAAGATGCACAAGATGCAGACGTGTGCCAGCGGCCTCTCGTCCCAGATCCACCCCCTGCACGAACGCGCCTCCTACGCCAAGACAGCTCCGATCGCAGGAGCGCTCTACTAGAGGCGACCTCTCTATGTCTATGCCGTCTATTTATCCTAAGTCAACACAATCGAACGTATTTAACACTCAAAGAGCCTTCGCTTGGTGGTGCACCGATACCGCCGCGCAGGGCGGTCATGTAAATGTACGTGTGGTTACTACAGGACCAGGTTAAAAGCCAGAAGCAGACGGGAAGTCGCATCATCTCGCAACGATCCAATACAAGCCAACAGGCACGAAGGCCTAGTCTCGGAGCTATGTAGTATGCATAATAAATAGTCCAAGAGCAGTCGAGAAGGGTCAATGGTCCATGTGTTCGCGCCATACAACAATCCGGCACGGACATCACACGTGAAATTCAGCTTAATCCATGCCTTTGTCGTCGGGCATATTTGGCGTCCTCGAGAGATGCACCAGTCTCCTACTGCCTCTCGATGCAAGAGCGGGCGAGAGCGCCCCTGCCTTGTAGCAATGCTAGCCTGCACGCCGGCCGTGATCACGCAACGAATACGACCCTGCACATGCCCGCACGTCCATCACTAGTACCCCCCGCGCCCTTCGCATACAACCGGTTTCAACAACCTAATCGTGGTTAGTCGACAGGCGAACACGACGAGGCCGTCACGTGGGAGTATCACGGCCACTCAGCAGCCACTCGAGCAAATCGACGTTGCCATTTGAGCACGTCAACATTGCACGTTTTGATTCTCTCTGTTGATCGTTGAGTTTCAGTTGGGCTTGGATACTGTGGTTGTGGTCACCCCCTGTCACACGACACCGATCAACGCAACGTCCGATCAGTTTCCATTTTGCATGATGCCGATCAAGTCTGGGGTGCTCTTTAAGCGCGGCGCGGGCGGCCTCTTTCAGCGCAAGAACTGGAAGCCGCGGTACTTTGAGCTCTCGGACCATGCGCTGCGCTACTATACGCACCAAGGCGGCGCGTGCAAAGGACAGGTTTGCCTCGACGACCTCGACTCGAGTGCGCTCGAGCTCATGCCGACCGACCTCCCCAAGACAGGGTCGTCGGCATCCACGGGCTGGCGCATTGCGATCCAGACGCCGACGCGTCGCTTTGTCGTGGCAGCAGCCACGCACCGCGAAATGACCGAGTGGATGGCGGCCCTCTTGACGATCTTGGCGTCGCATGCGAAACCAAAACCAACCAAGCATCGGAATTCGAATTGCTTTTGCCCGCGCCCGATCGTTGCCTTGCGATGAACGACGCATTGTCATCTATTTAACTAGTATCTATTTATCGCTCTCGTCGATCGATTTGTGACAATTCGACTTGTCTGAATTGAGATTTTCACACTTTTCTCTTGGCACATTGCGGATCACAGCTGTCGTGGGAGCGATGCATCCCTTGTCGAAGTTCAGTCAGAATGGTCACGCAATTGCAGCACGTGGTATGCTAATCTACGCCAGGGCTAGGGCTCACAGCCGTGATGCACTTGAAAGGCTTGTTTGGATCCATGTTGTTAGCCTGCGAAACTCACCATACCTCAGTGGCGCTAGCTTGTCGGGATGCATCGCTTGCCATACCCAGCGATAGCGAATGCATAGCGAGTTGGCTGCCAGGGCGCGTGGCGGGGCCGTGGCAACGGGACATGCGTCTGCTCGGATCTTTGCCCCGGATGTCCTTTCTGTCGCACCGTGTCCTTGACAGTTAAAAAACACGCAACTTGCGCCGCTAAATGCATGATGGCGAGGCCTGTAGCGACCTATAGACTCGATACGTCGAAGGCAGCGTGGGCTTTGTCGGGATAACGCAAAGATCGAGTAAGCCGCAATCGGGCGCGACATCGTTCGTCGGTCTGGCTCCCGCCGCCTTCAAGGTGGTGGATCTGGTAGACATGGCTGCAGCTTCGCACGAACACTTCATTGCCGCAGCGACGATCTCTGCTTGCACAACACGCCATACTGTTTGCTCTATCTACTCTACCACAACACTCTAGCGAGACGATTGTCTACCTTGGTGGCGCCTCAAGTCGTGCAGCGCGCGGCTTCGGCTTGACCAGCTAAAATTGCGTGCAAATAGCCCAGCGTCGCAGGCCGGCCAAGTTTTTTTCCCCGCCCGTGTAATGTCGTTCGACGCGTTTTCATTGGTTAAAACTCGCCTTTCGTGTCCAATGGCATCTTGAGGCCATGCCATATTTGGATTTGCACGGACCATGGCAGCAGCGACTGGCCGCGTCAACAAGCACGGCGAGCCCGTGGTGAAGGCCGGCGTGCTCTTCAAGAAGGGCTCTGGCGGCGGCCTCCTCAAGCGCAAGAACTGGAAGCCGCGGTACTTTGAGCTCACGCAGAACGCGCTGCGGTACTTTACCTTCCAGGACGGCGAGGTCAAGGGCGAGATCATGCTCAAGACGTGCGGCGAAGACGTGCTCGAGATCATGCCGGCCGACTCGATGAAGACGGGCGGGTCGGCTTCGACGATCTGGCGCATCGCGATCAACGCGCCGTCGCGCCGGCTCCTCATTGCCGCGGGCACCGAGCACGAGATGAATGACTGGGTCGACGCGCTCCTCGCGGTCTTCCACGCCAACACGAATGGCACCGACGTCTTCCAGCAGGCGCGCGGCAGCCTCGCGGCCAAGGAGCTCGACTTTGCCTCGATGCCCCACATCAAAAAGTCGATCGCGTCGCCGAGCCGGTCGAGCGCGTCAGGTGGCAGCAGCATGTTTGTGCGCCCGTCCCAGACCTACTACGTCGAGCAAGAGGTCACGCGCGCGCCGCCATCGTACGTGGAAGAAGAGATCTCTCGACCCATGCCCAAGGCTTCCTCACCACCGTCGTCGTCGTCGCCGCCGTCGTCGATCTACGTGCCGACGCCCGAGCCCATCTTGTATGCACCGACGCACCCCGACCACATTGTCCACCACGAAGCGCCGCCGACGCCGATCATCACGCCAGTGATCACACCCGTCACGACGGAGGCGCGCAAGAGTGAGAAGGGTCCGAACTTTGATCCGTCGGGCGAATACGCCTTTTAGTAGTTAAAGCATCCGTCATAATATAGAAAAAAACTCGTGGAGATCGCAGACTTGGTGCGGTATCCTAATCGATGGCAAGGGCCCCGGCGACGACGGCGGCGACGACTGACGACGGCGGGAACGCAACCGTGTCCCGGAGCTCGACCGACGCCAGGTTGTCGTACGCAAGGAGCGTCGCGGCGCAGGCTGGCGCAAGGCAACGCTCGGACGAGGCATTGCGTGCATGCAAGGCCTTCTGGCCGTGCCTACATCTACCCTGAAGACCTCCCTTTTCCTATAGGAACGTACCAGGGAATGGAGTCGGCGAGGCGATTGCTGCCGCGGGCGTGAGCGAAAACCACGCGCAGCTGTGCATCGAGAAGCGGCCCGAGAGATGCTGGCAGCGTGGTCACCGACGACGGAAGCGACGCATCGGTGCAGGCCTAGGCGTGGTGCGTTTGGACTACCAAGCGTACGTATGCTGTCGCGTACCCACGGTCGGAGCGCTGCCTCCATGAGGATAAGGCCTTCGAGATGCACAAACAGGGGCGTCGCTGCAAAGTTGCGATCGACGATCGCATGGCCAAGCGCCGCAGCGAGGGTAGCATCGTCGCTCGCCAGCCACAGCTACCGATTGAGGTGGTGGGCTCAAGAGATAGATAAGGAGAGTGGTGGTAGCGCACCGGTGCGTGCGTGCGCTGCGGATGCGCGACGAGCCACTGCTGCAAGAAGACGTGCGCCTCGGCGACCGCCGACGCTTCGGGCAGGTGCAGCCACAACGCAGCATGCAACGTCGACGGCGTCGCGCACGGCTTGGACGCGCCCGACGAGAGGTAGACGACGAGCGGCGCGGCAGATGGAACACTTACTGGAGCTGCCTCGAGCGAGAGCAGCGGTGCGTCGGGCGACGTCGATGTCCTGGCCGTAGGATTATGAAGCGCATCAGGAACAGGTGGCGTAGTCGTACCAGACGAGGATGTTGGGCCCGAGGGCATCGTCGAGCATGGTCTCCTTGACCGAGCCCCAGACAACGAGGATGACGATAAGGAGAAAGGCGGCAACCGGCCAGCGGTCGCGCAAGGTCGGCGACGACGACGGCAAGAGCGGCTGGCGATCGTCCATCAAAAGTCCCACTGTTCACTACCTCGGGTGGCAAGGTATCCGGATGCACCGAAAGGCCAGCATGTGCTCGTGATGCAGTCGTCTTTTCGCTTGCCATGTATGTGCCCACAATCTAATACCTCTGATACGACCATATTTCATTATCTGCAGCAATGGCTCGCGAGCAACCGCACCGTTCTGACGACGTTATTGTCGGTGCATCTCGAAGGCCGTAGCCCAATGGAGGCAGTCGCGCTGCTGCCACGCCAGAGCTTTGAAATGGCGATTCAGTGCCCTCGCCGGCGCACCTTCAACGTGAAGCCACCGCTACAAGCCGCCTCAACGCTTGCACTTGTCCGAGACGAGTGACGACCGTGACTGCAACGGTCGAGCCCGACGCCGATGCGTCGTCGCTCATCTCGAAGACGCATCGTTGACCGCCTCCGCACGCTGCATCGGGCGCCGTGCATCCTCCTCCAGGCCAGGACCAAGTCGACGAAGAAGATGTGGCTGCGATTGCAAGCGCGCGGGCCATTGTAATAGTAGAAGCGTCGTAAGCTCGAAATCATGCACGGCCTTCCAGTCACATCCCATGCCGTCGTCTCGCGTTGTACTTGTAGAACTCGTTGCATACCTGCCCAAAGGAGTGTGCAACTCGCAAGACTATCAATGACCTAGAGTCTGTTGATGAAGGGGATCTTGCTGGCTGTCTACGCCACTAGGACGAACACTACGCCAGTCGACCATGGTAGCGTTGTGATCGTGAGCTTCGTTTACGCCATAGATGTTGTTGTTGGCTTCAACAAGGAAGTGGCCATCTCGTTTGGCCCACCGGATCACTCACTCTACAAGTACGTGGTATTACCGAGACCGTCGCGACCTTGCAGTTGGTTGCACTCGACAACTTCTGCTGGCCACCCATGGCACCTGTGATTCCGCACTCTCTCCTCCCGGTTGAGCCGTGGGGACGATAAGACTATCGGTTTCCCGACTTTTGGATCGTATGTGACCGGCACTGCTAACCAGAGCTCGTGGTCAGTCTCAAAATCGCCGTTGCGTGCACAACTCGTGTGTTTCCAAGGCGCAATGACGTGGCGCAATGAGCGTGCGCGAGACGGGGACACAACATTGAAATGGACTGCATAGAATGACCAAGCTTGAATTGAAATTTGCGGAATGGCATAACACTCATAGCACATCAAGATCCCAGCACCTCATCAGACCAGCCAAATATCGAGACATGGAGGTTTTATCAGGATAGAAACACCCAACCAAGCCAGCACATCCCACACCAGTACCACACCCTGACGACCAACGCTACCATACACCAGCATCCATGTTTTGCCAGGTACAGGCCCCAAGTCCGAACTATCAATGAACGCCCCTTGCAACCAGCGTGGCGAGCTTGCTTTGTACTCGGTCACCCGTGCACCCGACGACGGTGTCGGCGACAATGGCGTGGATTTAGCCTCTGGCGAGATGCGTTTATGGAGGTTCGACGTGGATTCCACAAAACGCGATCTTGCACAGTTTCGGATTTCCAGCGTGTAGCAACCCAACCATGGGCATCTCAATGCGCAGCGCGAGCCTGCCGACGCACCCGGGCGAGCTCAGCGTCGACTTTTGCAGCCTTCAGGTAGCCGCCCACCGCCGCACCTCGAGCGCTGACCTCGGCGTCCTAGGCCGACACGCTCCAGCGATACGTCGACTACCACCAGCTGCCGCTGCCATCGTCTGCGACAAAAGACGACCTTGCGATCCGCGTCGCCGCGTACGCGCTTCTGGCTATAGCCCGTGGCCTTATGCCTCTCTGTGGTGTAGCCATTTCAGCGAAACGGTCACCATGTTTGAGGACGAGAAGGCCACCATCATGTCGTTCTTGACCTACGTACGTTGCGCTGGCGGTATGGACGCGTCCCGATGATCCTTGCATGCACTGTAGATCCGTGAAGGCCCGCGCGACGCCGGCGACGCAGCCGATCAAGGCCCTCGGTGACGCCAAGCGGCCACGGGCTGCGACGCCCGACGACGCCATGACGTCGGGTGACGACATCTCGAACGACAGCAACCGGCCAAGTAAGAAGGCCAAGCGCAAGGAAAAGCGATACTGCATCTGCGACGGCGAGAGCTTTGGTGCGATGATTGCGTGCGACAACAACGCCTGCAGCGACCGCTCCAACTGGTATCACATGCAGTGCGTCGGCCTCGAGACTACGCCCGAGACATGGTATTCCCATCCTCGTTCGACAGCACCGTTGGCATGTCCTAGCATCGATAGGCTCTGTCCGCTTTGTCAGCCGCGAGCTGCAGCACCTTCCGAGCTGGTGCCGTAAACCGTACAACAAGCCATCCAGTGTATGGATTCTGTAAACTCTTCTTGTAGTGTTTCGGAAGCCGGCGCTCAGCACGACATACGGCGACATGATCTCGCACGCGCTTCGCTCCATGCCTCGCGGCGAGGTAGAGACGACTTGATTCCTTGATACTTTTGATTCCATTGGAATGCGCAGGGAACGTTCAAAGACATTTGCGAGTACATTGAAGCGCAGTACGAGAGTCAACTCAACTGGAAGCTCGAGAGGTACACAAATTGTCCATGGCGCTGTAGACTGATGGACGATCTCCACTAGCGACCAGCGCAAGTCGCCCGTGTGGAAGTCGTCGGTGCGAAAAATCCTCTTTTCCAACTCGCGTTTCAAGCGCCATGCTATCATCAAGGGCGTCTTTTGCCTCGTGCCGTCAACAGCAGCGTAGATAAAGTGCAGACAAGTTGTCATTGATAACAACAACAGACAAGTTGTTGTTGGAATAGGATATCGGGCTCGAGATAGCGTGACGGCGGTGGCCTTTACACTAGTTTACGGTAGACGCAGCATCGAGCGATCTAGAAGCACCGCTATGTAGCCACTTGATCGTGTCCTCCCTTGACGTTACCCCGTACAGCCACCACGCTCGGCACTGCGAGTGCAGTAGCGTGTACCGGTGGAGATGCTCTTATAGCGGAATCAGGCGCGAGGATGTCGCTGTCCTGGACCCTTCTTTGGCAAGGGTGTGCCCGATGATGCCAGCAAAAAAGACGGTCACCACCATGGTCTACCCAAAACGCTTTTTTAAGACTTCATACCTTTTAGTATACAACACATATCTGTATTTTATTTTTGGACCATCCTCCCATTTTGGGTGGTCCTCGTGGTGTGGAACGGGTGTCATCATTGACCGATATGACGTCGACAAGACGGTCGCTCGAGCCGACGACGGCGCCTCTCTCGACCACAACTCAACGGTACACGATGCGTCAATCGGATTATTAGTGCGAGCTGTTTACGTAGAGAGAGCACCAAAACTACAGCGCCGGCAGTTTCCACGACGGTGCCGCCTCCTGAGGCCGCTCCGACAAAGGCCTCAGCCTCGAACGCGCGCGGGAAGCGGTATGCTATCTACGACCGAATAAATATTGCATGCTTATCAGCTGAAAGGTCTCTTGCTGCAACCATGGACGAGAACGACGCCGAGCAAGCACAAACTGCGCGCTGCCGAGGTCGCCGAAAAGCGCGCCGCCACAGCCGACGCCCAGCGACAGCGGTGCATTGAAGAAGGCAGAATGCGGTGCATGTCGTTGCCACCGAGCATGGGGTATAACGCGAGATAGGGCCTCAGAACGGCAGACGATCAGCGCTCCGTTCCAGCACGACATCGATCCCAACATTACACTTCCGACGGAAGACGCATCGAGCTTCGTGGCGTTCGAGAGCGAGGACGAGCGAGACGACGAAGACGATGATGATACCGGCGTCGACTTACTCCTCGGCGCCATCGACACAGCATTTTTCCAACGACACGGTAATCTCTTTCTGGAGCATCCTTGCCTCATGGGATTGTGGCGTAGGTGGCCCACCTGCCGTCTCGTCTGCGACGATGAACGAAGCCACTGTGCGCGAGCTTGGTGCGACCGGATGGCATTCCGTGGTAGAGGACGATTCTGTCGCGTGCCAAGCGACCGACCCGCCGTACTCTGGCTACTCTGGGCCAACGCCCGACGTGTTGCGCATTGCCGGCGATCCGCTTGCGCTCTTTTTCTGCTTCATGCCCAAGAAGATGTGGAAGAATATAACGCACGAGGCCAACAACTACTGGAGCGCCACGATCCAGATCCACGCTAAAAAGGCCTTCCAGCGTCCTGGCAACAAGAAGACACTGGACGAGATTGAAAAGTGCTTTAAAAGTAAAAAGTTGCAGTCGCGTCACCGATGATCGGATATCGATAGGCATCCCGCGCGTGAAGCCACATGAGCTCATGACGTGGCTCGGCCTTGTGGTTGCGAGATCGCTCTTCCGTCCTACGGGGCCGCTCGTGCTGCACTGGAAGACGGAGTCGTACGGCGCGTTGCCAGCCGGAACGTTTGGCCAGTTCATGGCGCGGAGCCGGTTCAGTCACATCACGCGGGCGCTCCACTTTACCGACAACGCCAACCCGGCCGTGGCGACTGATCGAGCGAGGAAGATCCGCCCGATCATCGAGACCCTGCAAAAGACCTTCAAGGAATCCTACGTGCACGACGAGAAGATCGCGTTGGACGAGGTGATGCTGCCGCACCGCAGCAGTTTCAGCCGCTTTCGCCCGTACGGCCCGACGGAGCCCAAGAAGATTGGCGTCAAACTCGTTGCGTCTCGTTGCTTAAAGTCGTACTTCTGCTCACGGTACATATACGTTCTCGGTCCACCTCTGCTGGATTGAAACGAATTTCATTTCCAGATTCAAAGTGTACTTGAGCAAGAAGGCAACCGATGGAGAGACGGACATGGTCACGGTTGCCCGCAACCTCCACCATCTTTTCCTCGGTACGCCTTTGAAAGGCTGGCTGCCTACATTCCCTGTCGTATCTTGGTAGGTCTTGTCGACATGGCACTGACAAATGCCTATATTGTCCATCGCTACGCCGTCGACGCCAACAAGTCGGAAACCATTCCCGGCTTCGTCGCCCGTGGCCGCTTCACGTTTCTCGTCGACTTGCAGAAGGCACTGTTGCAGCTAGATGAAAGTGCCTTCTCCGACGTGCCGCCACCGCCGACGGCCCCACAAGTCGTTGGCACTTCTCACGTCCTCGAGAAGACCAAGGACACGCAGCCATCGGGAAAGCTGCGGGCTTTGACGTGCAAAGTGTGCGCTGCGTTGGCGGCCAAAGGCGAGAATCCGTGCAAGGTCTCCACGTACGTACCCGTAGTACAAATCGTCGTCGTCTGACTTTATCGCGCAGGTTCTGTCGTGGCTGTCCAAAGAAGAACGACCAACACGTCTACCTCTGCGGTCGGTTGCGCGAGTACAACGGTGCCCAAGTGACGTGCTACGACATTTGGCACCGCTTGTGGCGCGCCGGCTCTGCGGTCCCCGCCGGCGTGCGCAAGACGCGCAGCCGCCCCGTCACAAATGCGTCGCCGAAAGCACATATTGAAGGCAATACGTTCATCATCTAGAAGAGTAGCGCTATGATACAAGGTCCATCCACCATACTACGTGCTTCATTTGCTCTGTCAATGCACCGCGTCGCGTGCTAGGAATGACGCGACGGCGCTACGCAGACGTCTAAATCGTTGTACGACCTACTAATATCCCGAACGTCCAGAACATCTCTTCGCCAAGTGTTGCGAGGACCAAGATAGCGGTTCATCTATCAGGCCGTCCTGCCAGCAGGCGGCGCGTGATCCTCCCCGCTCGAATGGACAACCAAGCGAGCCCCTAGACACGCGAGACAACGTATCTGCAACGATGTGCAGCACTGGTCGCCACGATTGTGACAGCGTCAAGCGAGCCACGGTGCACCCAAAAGTACGACCCAAAGCACCCCGAGTCGGGGTGATAGGGTAAAAGGGTCGGGGTCCCCGACCCTTACCCTATCCTACCCTAAACCTGACACGGACCACCGCTGTACTTTGCGACGAGATTAGAGTGCAGTCGAGCGCACCCGTCCCAAACTACGCCAACATGTCATTTGAAAATGGCTCTGGTACACGCGTATTAGTCGACCCGCCACAATACCATGTGCCATGCTTGCTGCTTGAGGCTGTTCTGCGTTAGATGGCCAAGACATATCGTATCGCATTGGCTAGAATATTCTTATTTTTGGCCAATCACAGGCGATTAGCTTCGCCATGCCAGACGATCCCCGGGGAGTGACCGCTTTTGACGCCCCAATCAAGTTTAAAACGAAATCGCTCCAACTTGGAATAGAGATAAAAGACACTTTGGAGAGTACGTTGCGCTATGTCGCATTGTCAGGCGACGCGTACAGCACGAGAAATGGTCCCTGTTATTAATCATGGCAGACGCCATGCATAACCATATATAGTGTCTAAATATGCCTATTCATGGCATATGCCACTATGAAAAAGCGGAGCGGCCACAGAAAGAGTGGCTTGCGTTCTCAACGCTCTGTGGTACGCTCGTCGCGCTCTAGCTGCAAGAAAGCTCCAGCAGTCAAACCGATCACAGTTTCTGCCCATGGCGCCACCGCAGTACTCACCCAACGAAGCAAAGGACTGCACTTTGTTCTAGTGTGTTGTAGTAAGCCCTGGAACGCCGCTGAGCTCACAGCGTGGTTTCTTTCGCGCTAACCTACAACTTGACGCCGAAAATGACAACGGTTTTGCCAGACATCCTACGGTACGCTCTGCCTCAATGACCAAACCCAAGGCGACCTGTGGACATGATCTGCACTGCCGCTGCGTCGTTGCGCAAGTAGCCAAGTCAACGCAGCGCCTCTCCAACCGCGCTAACTGCCCGCTCCAGCTCCAGCAGCAGACATGGCTGATGGACGTGTACGCTAGATAGTAGACCACATGTATCGATGGTGGCGTCGGACCACCGAGTCGTCGTCGCGCCCCATGGTTCGGCGTAGCATCGGGTTGTATAGAACTGCCGTTCTTGCCGTCGATTGCCATGGTGGCGAGGGTGATGAGGCCTAGCATGACACGAAGAGATGCGATACGCAGATGCGCCGAGACGACGACGATGGTAGCTTCGACCAAGGCATCGTCCAGCGCCGATGGCAGGACAAGGTCGAAGGTCGCAGGCAGGACAAGACCTATGGCGCCTTCTGGCGCGTGTCGTAGGTGGAGCGGTGCAGGGCGCGACGGCGCGTCGTGCGGTCCTTGACCTGGCGGCGAGGCGCAGGCTCCATGGTCTCGTCCTGGTCTGTGGTCGTTGGCAGACCCAAAACGCTACTCATCCTAGCGCTCTTCTCGTCCGTGCTGCTCGGAGCATCGTCGTTGCCGTCGCGACGCAGCAAAAGCTCCTTGACGATGGCTGCAGCCGTCGGGCGCGCCTTTGGGTTGAACGCCAGACACTTGTCGGCGAGGTCTTGGAGCCACGCCGGGCAGTTGGCACTCATCTTGGGGCGCAGCCGGCCCGTGCGAACCAGCTCTTCGACGCCGCTGCGATCCGTGAGATCCGAGTATGGCTCGGAGAGTGTGTCGAGCTCGGTCAAGACGACGCCGAACGAGTAGATGTCGGCGGCCGTCGTGTACGCTCGCCCTTGGCCTTCGCACCCGGGCACCCGCAGCACCTCGGGCGCCATCTAGTACTTGGTGCCGACGTTGGACGACATATTGCTGTCGACGTCAAGGGTCCGTGCCGAGCCGAGGTCGCCAAGCCGAATGTAGTGGGTTTGCGAGAGGAAGATGTTGAGGCTCTTGACGTCGCGGTGGACCACGGCGACGGTGGAGGTCGGCGAGCGCCAACGCCAGCACCAGCGCCACGTCAATGGTCGAGAGGTCGAGGCTTACGTGCCCGCCGTACTTTTTGTCTCGGAGGTAATGGAACAAGTCGCCTTGGTCCATAAACTCTGTGATCAATTGTCGGGCTGTAGAGGCGATGGTTGGGCGCGACCATGTGTGGCGCGTGCGAGTTATTGTCGAGGACTGCAAGCAGCGGTAGCAAGTATGGCGACGTGTAGCTACGCATGTGTACATCATCGATATTGGCATGTTGAGCGTGAGAGAAGCCACGTAGTACGTTTGCATGGTGACCATCTCGTTACGCAGTATGGGCACGATGTAGTTGGGGTACTTGGGTCTTTTCAGCACGACGGCTTGGCCTTGGTACGTGTCCTTGTCGACTGCCACACTAGGGCTAGGGCAGATGGACCCGTCGATCGCTAGCTCGTCCACACGCGCCTAGCTTGCTGGCTCGCAAGATCATGTCGAGGGAGCAGTATACCGTTGCGACAGCAGGTTAGAGGTGCGGATAGAGCACGTGTGCCACCACATTATGGCCGCGCTGGATGGCTAGCGCCAGAAGCGTTCGACCTTGTTGTTCCTATGACGGTTGTCTCGTTCGAGTTGGGCATATCCATGGATCCGCAACTGTACCGGCCGCATCGTTGAGGCGTCTGCGCCAATCGCCAAGAGACAATACACAGCGTCGTCGTGGCCTTCGGGCACGGCCCGCAGCAAGGCCTTGTTCAAGCCGTCCAACAATCCCTTCGCGTCCATCTATGTTGTGGAATCAACCGGCTCACGAACCAGATCTGTGCCACCCAACACGATACGAAAGCCGGCAAGCAGAGCGTCTCGGTTGCGAAATGCGTCTGGAGCCTCCAGACCCGCCCATCTGCCCGCCTCCTACCGGTAGGTTGCAAATAGTAGTGACGTTAGAGCAATGTCGGTCCATCGCAAAATGAGACTCTAAAATCGATTTAAACTTGGTTTTGTATTATGATGTGCGAAATACGACAGTAATACGACGCTATTGCGCCGCCATGCGGTGTTGCTCTTTATCCGGATGTGATTGGTTGTCAAAAAAACGGTATATGCCACTTGCCGACGATGGAG